GCCTTCATTGCTCACACACTTGAGTATCAGAGTTGAGATGATAAGTTAAGGTTATACAGAATGATGGTGAGGCCTGTTATGGAGTACTGTGTCCAGTTCTTCTCTCCCTGTTATAGGAAGGTTATGATTAAGCTGGAGAGTGTTCAGAAGAGATTTATCAGATGTTTCTGGGAAAGAAGGTTTTGAGTTATAAGGAGAGGCTGGACAGTCTGGGACTTTTTTCACTGGAGCATAGGAGGTAGAAGGGGTGATCTTATAGAGGTTTATAAAGCCATGAGGGGTATAGATAAGATGAATGACAAGTGTCTGTTTCCCTCTGTTGGGGAGTTGCAGACTAGGGGGCATATTTTTAATGTTTGGAGAGAAAGATTTTAAAAAGACATGAAGGGCAATGTTTTTATACTGAGAGTTGTTCATGAGTGGAATGTCCAGAGGAAGTGGATGTGGGTACAGTTACAACGTTTTAAATAAATTTAGATAAGTACCTGAACAAGAAATGTTTGGAGGGATATGGGCCAAGTGCAGGCAGGTGGGACTGGTATAGTCTGCATTGCGGTCAGCATGGACTGGTTGGACTGAAGGGTCTGTTTCTGTGCTGTATGACTCTATATGACAGGACTACACCAAGCAAGACAGCACCTTCCAAACCCACGACCTCAGCCAACGAGGAGATACGTGGAAACACCAGCAGCTGCAGATTCTCCTCCAAGCCTCTCCCCACCCTGAATTGGAAATCATTTCGTGTCGCTGGAACAAATGATCTATGGACCCGGCATCAGACTGGCACTGAAATTCATACACCACATGTGTGCGATGGGCAGAAGGGTCTCTGCTTCCAGGGCACCGTTCTGCCCCTGGTGACACTCTTGGCCCCGCCCATTCCTCCAGATCCCGCCCACTGATCCGCGAGCCCACACCAAGACCCCGCCCCTCCTCACGGCCCCGCCCACTCACCCATCGCCCATTCTAACCGAACCGTACAGCCAGGGCCCCGCCCTAATAACCATCCTGCCCGATCACGCCGGACCCCACCCACACAAACGCCCCGCCCCCGCGGCCTTGTCCCCGCCTACCCACTCACTGACCCGCCCATTCAAGTGGTTCGTTTCCCGCTTAGAGCCCCGCCCACTCCTTGTGGCCCCGCCCGCTCGCCGGGCCACGCCCCACGGTGCTGGGCCTATCGGTGCCCTCGCTGTGCGCTTGCGCAGATCGCCGTTGGCCGTGATTGTGTGGAGTCGTCGCTGTGAGTTAGTCACCTGAGCCCGGGGATTGGGGCCTAGTGTCCGAGACTGAGAAACACTGAGCCCCCAAGATCGACGATAAAGTATTCGGATCCAGTGGGCTGAGGCCCAGGTTGTTGGATGGGGAACGGGCCGGGTTTGGGGTAAAGCTCAGTAAGGGAGGAGGACGAGGAGGAGCACGGGGTGGGGGGGTCATCAGCAAGGCCGGGGGGGTGGGGGGGGTTGGTGGAAGAGAGAGAAAGAGAAGGAGGTGTGGGTAGACTTAGAAGAATAAAGAGGAGGGGAGAGAGGACGAAAGAACCAGGAGATAAAGGAAATAAAGATAAAGAAGCAGAGAGGGACACTGACTCCCTTCCAAGATAGAGAGAAAAGGACGTGGACAGTAGAAAGGAAGAGTGAAACAGACAGAGTCTGAACAGAAGGGTGTCTGGGTCAGAGAATGTGAGGGTAGAGAGAGAAGGAAGGGACAGGAGAGGCATCCATCCAGGATACAGACTGTGCTCAGGGTGAGTGACTGATCCAAGGGGCAAAGTGGCTGATCTTCCGCACCCCCCACCCCCGAAGGTTATAGCAGTCAGGGGCCCTCTTCATGCACAGTGTTGAGATTGGCATTAAAATGGGGAAGGAGCAGTGAATGGGCTGGAGGTGGATCAAGATATTAGGGTCCACAGGGGAAAAGTTGGGTTTTGTGCAGAGATCGCCAAGCAAGGCTTGGGTGGGGAGAAGGGGAGAGTCTTTGGGGAGAAGGCGATACCAATGGACAGAGCTGGCATCGACTCAGAGTGGGGGATGAGGAGGAGCTGGCTACCTCTGTAACCTCAAAATCCTTGGCTTGTTGCTCCTGCACTTGGAGATTTCTGCAGCTTTGGAATTATCCAGGACACAATGTGCGAGAACAGCAGAGGTGAGCAGCACACACCTGGGCTTGGGGCACTGGGGATGAATAAGGGGTCAGCAATGTGTAATATCACCAGGTATCAGTAAGGGAGTGTTGCCGGACAAAGAGGCCTTGGAATGCAAAGTTCACAGTTCCTTGAAAGCAGAATTGCAGATAGACAGGGTGGTGAAGAAGGCGTTTGGTATGCTTTCCCTTATTGGTCAGTGCATTGCATATGGGATTGGGACATCATGTTGCAGCTATACAGGACATTGGGTACGCCACTGTTGGAATACTGCGGTCAGGTCTGGTCTCCCAGCTACAGGAAAGATCTTCGAAACTTGAAAGGGTGCAGAAAACATTTACAAGGATGTTGCCAGGGTTGGAGTGTCTGAGCTGTAGGGAGGGCCTGAATAGGATGGGCTATTTTCCCTGGAGCATTGGAGGTTGAGGGGTGACCTTTGAGGTTTGTAAAATCATGAGGGGCATGGGTAGGGTGAATAGCCCTTTTTCAGAATAGGGAAGTCCAAAACTAGAGGGCATAGGTTTAAGGTGAGAGAGGAAAGATTTAAAAGGGACCTAAGGGGCAACATTTTAATGCAGACGTTGATGTATGTATGGAATGAGCTGCCAGGGGAAGTGGTGGAGGCTGGTACAATAACAATATTTAAAAGGCACCTGGATGGATACTTGGATAGGAAGGATTTAGAGGGATATGGGCCAAATGCTGGGACTAGATCAATTTAGGATGTTTGGTTAGCATGGATGAATTGGACCGAAGGGTCTGTTTCTGTGCTGTATAGCTATGACTAAGCCATATGGTGAGGTGTGCGTCACGCTGGCACCCCATCACCAACTCTCTTCCCGCTGAAATCCCACTCATGGCATGGCAAGGAGGGGCAAGTGAGACGGTCAGTAGCTGAAGTTCCTACCTCAATTTGTTAATGCCCTTGCAGTCTTCCCGCCCGGCTCACCCAATTCACACGCTACGACTGTTCGGTTCACAGGTTAGCAGAAAGCGGCGAATCAATAACCTGCATTTAACATGCACCCCTATGATGTCTGGGCATGCCAGAGTGCTTCACAACCAATAGAAATGTCACCAGTGTTTTCATGCAGGACCCATGGTTGACAGTGGATGCACAGCCAGCTCCGATTAGCTGCATTGTGATAGCAATCTGATGGTCCCACTTTTGTTTTTGTGATGCTGTTTGAGCAACACACACTCGCCCAGTGTGCGAGATAAAACCCTTCTTCCTCTTTGAAACAGCACCATTAATGCAGGAGATAACAAGGTGTAGAGCTGGATGAACACAGCAGGCCAAGCAGCATCAGAGGAGCAGGAAGGCTGACGTTTCAGGCCTAGACCCTTCTTCAGAAAGTACCTTCTTCTTCATCCTCTGCTGCTTGGCCTGCTGTGTTCATCCAGCTCTACACCTTGTTTACCTCAGGTTCTCCAGCATCTGCAGTTCCTACTATCTCTGAACCCATTAATGCAGGGATTGACTTGGAAGGCACCAGAGGTAAGTGAAAGTCATATGATATGAGAAAGTGATATTAGTGGGACAGAGGGTAAAGTTAGCATTAAAGAAAGTAACTTGAGGACAGAGACTAGTCATAGCAGGGATGGTTCATCCCTGTGTAATTATACGGCCTGTAGTACGTGAGAGATCTTACTGGTTTGATCAGCTTCAGCGCTGGACTTTGGACACTGAGCGTCAGCTTGTGTCATAGTAGTGTATCGGTAAGGCTGAAAGGTATGTAGACAGCATGTTTTTGAAAGGTGTGATCCGCAGCATAAGGAAGTGCAATGAAAGAGGGGATGGGTGACCATCATTCAGAAGAAGGGCAGTGGGTAGGTAGTCAGGAAAGCCCCAAGTGTATATCGGTCAAGAACAGATTTTCTATGTTGGTATTGGTGATAGTTCCTCTGGGGTGTGCAGACATGGCCCAGCTACACAGTAGAAAGAGCGGGAAAAGATTAGTGATGGGAGAGTCAAGAATGAGGACTACAGACAGGATTTTCTGAGGCCACAGATGTGACTCCAGGACAGTTGCTGCCTCCTTGGGGCCAGGGTCAAGGATGTCACTGAATGGCTGCAGGGCATTCTGAAGGGGGAAGGTGAACAGTCAGTGATTGTGGTTCCAATTAGGACCAAGGCGATCACGAAAAAGGCAACAAGAATTCAGAGAGCGAGGTAGCAGATCAGAAAGCACGACCTCGAAGGTTGTAATCTCTGGATTATTCCCAGTTCCACGTGAAGCAAGTATAGGTGATAGAACAGATGAATGTGTGGTGAAAGAGTTAGAAAGGACATTAGATTTCTGCATCTCTGGGTTAGTTTCTAGGGAAGCTGGGAACTGTCCGAATCTGATAGGTTGCATCTGAGCCAGAGTGAGATGTAACATCCTTGCAGGAACTGGGAATGGGTTCTGCCCGTGCTTTTGGAGAGATTTTAAACTAATTTGGCATGTGTATGGGATAAGGATTGGAGGTACATAGGACAAGTATAGAACAGTGACTCAGTGGCTAGCACTGCTGCCTCTCAGCGCTAGGGACCCAGATTTGACTCCAACCTCGGGCAACTGTCTGCGCAGAGTTTGCACATTCTCCCCATGTCTGCATGGATTTCCTCCAGGTGCTCCGGTTTCTGGAATTAGAAAAGTGATGAAAGGGCATGCAAAAACACTAGCCAGTAACATTAAGGAAATCTGAAGGTGTTTTATAAGCCTATTCAAGCCTTGAGGATAACCAGGGAAAGAGTAAGGCTTATTACGGACCAAATAAAGTCAACCCTGAAAACAAAGCTGAGATTTCAAGTGGGAACTTTGCATCTGTATTCACTACAGAGAAAGAATGATGTAGGTCTAGAATTCAGGGAGGGAGAATGTAATGTATTTGAACAAATTAGGATTGAGAGGAGGAGGTATTTGAAGTTTTAGTGGGTTTGAGAGTTGCAGGAGGTAAATTGCAGGGGTTCTGACATTAATTTTTAATTTTCTTCCTGGTCTTCAAAGAGGAGCCAGAGAAGTGAAGGTCAGCTGATGTGCCATTGCTCATGAACATTGGTACGGATAAACCAGGGAACCAGTGGGTCTAACCTCAGTGGTAAGAAAACTAATGGAAAAAATTCTGAGGCTCAGAATTAATCTCCAGTTGGAGAGGCAAGGACTAATTAAGGATAGTCAGCATCATGTTTTCGGTGCGGGGGGTGATCATGTCCAATAAATTTGGTTGGATGATTTGAGGAGGTTATTAGATGAGTATAGTTGATGTGTGGATAAAGTAAGTGTTTTGACAAGGACTGGCGTGGTAGACTGGTTTAGAAACCAAGAGCCCACGGGATCCTGAACAATCTGCAAATTTGATCCAAAATTTACTTAGCTGGAAGCAAGTTGAACATTATTTCTGTGACTGGAAGCCTGTTTCTGGTGCATTCCACATGAGTCAGTGCTGGGACCCTTGCTGTTTGGAGTCAGTGTTACTGATCAAGATGTGAATGTAGGAGGTATGATCACTAAGCTTGGAGATGACGCAAAGTTTGGTGTTGCGGTAAATAGTGAGAAGGAAAGCCTTGGATTACAGAACAACATGGATGGCCCGGTTAGATGGATTGAACAGTGGAAAATCAAATTTAATTCTGAAAAGTCGGAGGTAGTATATTTTTGGAGAGCTAACAAGTCCAAGGGACTAACGTGATGAGTGGTAGAATCAGAGGTTTTACAGCATGGAGAAAGGCTCTTCCGTCCATTGTGATTGTGTTGTTCATCAGGCATCTATCTATCTTTTTTCCACCATTTGACCTTTTCTAGCCTTGCATGAGGTGGTGTTTCAGGTGTTCATCTAAATGATTCTTCAGTGTTTTGATGGGGTCTTGCCTCTCCCACCCTGTGGGTTCCAAATTCCGGCAACCTCTGGGTGGAAAGGAATTTCCGCAAATCCCCACTAAATGCCCTGCTCCTCATTCTTAACCCCCCGCCCCCCAGCTTATTGACTCTTCCACTGAGGGAAACGTTTCCACTTTTTTTCCCTATCTGTACTTCTCATAACTTGGTACACCTTAATCACTGTTCCCATCTCAGTCTTCTCTACTCTCAGAAAACAACCCCATCCTAACTAGTCTGTCTTCATAGCTAAATTGGCCCAGCCCAGGCAACATCCTGTTGAAGCTATATATAATGTTAGGCCTCAGTTGGAGTGCATTGTGTAGTTTTGGTCACCACACTGTATGGAGGGTCTGAGTGCACGGGAGACGGTGCAGAAGAAATTCCCCAGGTTGTTGCCTGGGCTGGAGCGATGCAGCTATGCAGAAAGACAAGATAGGCCGAAGCCACGCGCTTCAGAGGACAAAATGCTGAGGGGAGACCAGATTGAGGTGTACAAAGTTCTGAGGGGCATAGATAGAGAGAAACCTTTTGCCTTAGTAGAGGGATCAATCAGCAGGAGGGGGTGCAGTTTTATGGCAGGGAGCAGGAAGTTTAGGGGCTATGTGGGGAAACCATTCTTTCAACAGATGGTGGTGGATATCAGGTGATGGCCTCGTGGTATATTTGCTGGACTGATAACCCAGAGACCCAGGAACCTGGGTTCAAATTCTACCACAGCAGTTGGTTTAATTTGAATTCAATAAATATCTGGAATTAAGAGTCTAATGATGACCATGAAACCATTGCCGATTGTCGGAAAAACCCATCAGGTTCACTAATGTCCTTTAGGGCGTCCTTACCATGTGACCCCACAGCAATGTGGTTGACTCTTAACTGCCCTCTGGGCAACTTGGGATGGGCAATAAATGCTGCCTGGCCAGCAACACCCTCATCCTGTGAATGAATTTTTTAAAAAAAGACTAGATCTCGCTGCTCAAAAGTGTGTGGAAACCCTCAAGAGATTAAAGAACTGTTTGGATGAGCACTTAAACACTGTACCAACATGGTTACAAGGGAAGGGTTAGAACCTGGGATTAGAATAAAAGCCAAGGTAAGGTCACCATAAGGCTGGAGTGGTCTACTGGTGGTGGTGTAACCTG